TACATCTACCAGATCTCACATAACTCTCTGAGTTCTACTTGACCCCAGAAATAATGTCAGACAGTATGTTGGATACACTCCTTTGGCAAACAAAATTAACTTATAGCTATTATGTCTTGAGAGAACTCATTTTAACTGTATTTTTATAGCTGGACTGTCAAATGAACTTAAACTTGAAAACAAGAATGGACAGCCAGGATCTATCTTTTTGGCATTGGTGTTCCTATTGTGGTTTTACTGTATATTATATATTATAAGTGAAGGAACAATTGTGTTTTTGGTATTTTTTGTTTTTGTCTGTGCTTATGCTGTTTTTTGTTTTCCTTGTTTGTGACCCTGAATGCAAATCAAGTTTCCCATTTGGGATAATAAAGATAACTGAACTGAACAGAACTGAACAGAACTGAACTGAACTGAACAGCCAGGATGAGGTTTCTGTACTGCTTGAAAAATAATTAGAACATTATTTTCAAGTTCCCAAAGAAAACAGCAAAATGTAAAACAATGGTGTAAAGTTGAAGAATTGGAATATCTTATATTGACAGATGATATTAGGTCTATTCTTGATCGTGATTTGTGCCTGTATGGTTTGTCTCCCAGTTTTCAATCTGCTAATCCAAGGTTTAGAAATGTGTTGCTGTTGTGAGACAAATCAAGGCCAAAGCAAATTAGATTTACAAGTTATGTTAGAAGATCCTTTATATGCAAAGAGACCCAAGAATATATATGTAATAAACACAATTTGTCACTAAACAACTTGTGCTGATGTTTATATATATTTAGTTTAAAAAATGGGGAGGGATTGTTTAGTACAGTCGAAAAGGAAATATATAATAAGCAGTGTGGGAATATTTCAGATCAGATGAGTCAATTGTTCCAGTCTGGTCTCAGGGAGCCTATTCTGTGCTATATATAATGAAAAAGTACTTCAGCGTCTGTTTAGTCTGTTCTGTTTGTATCAGAGCTAATGCTCTTGCTGTTAGCCTATTGTGGGATGGAACAGGAAGAACCAATATAGATTTGTGCCCAGACTTCCTGCAACCTTACCATGTCTCCCCCTTTTTTATGAGCCTCACCAAGATGCAGATTTGTAATGGGGAAATTATTTTAATGTCTGTCATATGATTTTATTTTATGTTTATTACTGGACTGTCTCCCTCCATGTAGACTACAACATTATTGTTTTTTCATATTGCTACAGCAAAGGCTCAGCCACCTTTAGTGCCAAGTCAAGATGAAGAACCATTAGTGGGGCCCTGCCAGAAGATCTCAAGCAGCAATCAGACTCAAAGGGAATTAACTGAACACAGATAGGCAGGCATCTGACCATTCAATGCTTCAAAATCAAGCATATTAATTCTAAAACTCACAGGTAATCGGTGAAGGCCAGCAAGGATTGCTATGATGTGGTTGCTTCTTTTCTTGAATTGCACTCTTTGGATGTTTTCGTCTGCTTATACCTTAGTGAAGTGTGTTATAGTGGTCAGGTGTGGAGGAGATAAAAGCATGGATGACCTTAAATCTACATTAATTGAAAAGACCCCCAGACTAGAGGAAATATTGTTACAAATTATATATTACTTCTGTTTGGGGTCTCAAGAGATCCCAGCTGTAAATCATGGTTTTTATCTCAGTGTGGTAGAAATTTATTGGGCAGAAAGGAATGTTTAATTTATGCATTGAGAGTCCTGGGCATGCTTTGTTTTGGGAGGCTTGGGTGCCTAGAGGCAGAAGATAAGACACAGCCCTTGTACCACAATGTTCCCGACTCCCCTGATAATAGGGAGTGAGAAATAACATTGACTAAGAATTACCCTTATTGTTTTACTTCCTTATAAAGTGTGTGACTGTAACGTCAAAGGAAAAAAGCTATTTGTTCATGCATCTAAAACTTAAAATAGTTACTTTACTAGTTTTTGTATGTTGTCACCTTTATCAAATGTGCAATCCCACTTTGTAGCAGTACTGTTATTCTGGATGTAGAAGAAAAACATATTAAGTTATGTCTACTTTATATACCACTGAGGACCTAATGCCCCTAATGTGGGCTTTTTGTAGGATCGAGCGGGAGGAAGCAATATAAAAAGGCTTGTAAGCTTCAACCACGTCTCCTCTTTTCAGACATGATTTCACTCATATTGATGAGTCACATCAAGACGTTTTATTTTTCTGTTGTGGTTCTTACTGTTGCAGAATTACATTTAAATTGGAAAATGGTTGTCTGACATATTATTTCCATTTATGTTTGTTACTGTAGTTTGCTACTGTAATAGGCTATTTGAAATGAAGCACTCCTGTCCTGTGGTGGGCAACCACCTAATATTAGTCCCTGCAACCTCTTCATCTGTATACATTTAAATTATGACATTTCATTACCTTTTTTATTGCCCATTGCATATGTTAACGTTTTAAATTACACCCATCAGATATAACATTATGACCACCTGGGCAACAAACTGTGATCACTGTGAGTTCTGACACCTTTCTATCCAGCATTAACCTTTATCAGCAGTTTGAGCTGCAGTAGGCCGTTCTCTTGGATCCGGACCACACAGGCCTCTGTAAATCCGGTTCCCCGCCTTTCCCTTTTTGGGACCCACTTTTAATAGATTATGACGCCTGGAGAAGCAGCAACACCCCACAACAGGCCGCAGTTTTTTAGACCTCCAGCCAGCTCAAATCCTCCAAGCTGCCCATTTTTCCTGCTTCTAACACAACATCAACTTTGAAAACAAAATGTTCACTTGCTGCATAAATATATCCCACCCACTGACAGGTGCCGCGATAACGAGATAATTTGTGTTATAGTGATACGACGTATCTTTTATTACGCTACCTGCCCACATTTGCGTCCCTGTTCGAGCTCTGCGTCAACGCTATTTCGGATTTCGACAGATGGATACAATTTAACTCCTCGCTTCACTCTTCATCAGGTAGATCTAATGTTTAGTTTCTCTAAACTTCTAATCTTTATTACCTAATAAAAGACTACTAGACCTCTAAATCACCGAAGAGGAGGAGGAGGAGTCTCGCGTAGATCGGATTCTGATCCATTCGGTTGCGGACAGCAGGGACAGATCTGATGAGGACAGTACATGACACACCAGTGGCAGAAATGTTCTCCAGTTAAAGGTGCAAAATGAGGCGACTTGGTTTTATTTATATTTGGCTTGCTGCGGATTTTCAACTAGTCCTTGGTGTAGGATTGGAGGACACACCGACTCTCGGATCTAAAGATAATCCCAGAGTTCTGTGCAAAGGTAATGTTCACTTGTAATTTCTTAACCATCATTGATTTGTTAAAAAATATTCTACAATGCTTTTAGATGCGTTCAGTGTCTCAAATCAGTGTGGACGGTTAGAAACATCAGTTAGAGAGGTAATCCCGTCCTCAAATCCGTTTAAGACCGCTAAAATCTAGTTCTCTTTGGGTGACCCAAGTTTACCCTTGTGATGTCAGTGCACAATGCAGTCATTGTGGTTCAGCCTGACCTTCAGCATCCTTGCAGGTCCTAAAATATGACAATGTGACTTTCTTTCCTCAGATATAATCTGTGGTGGATTCGAATACCAAGACCGTCAGAATCACAGTGTTTTCTTCTATGATGAGGACTCTGAGGAGCTGTATGTTGGAGGGACTGATTTTGTGTTCAAACTTGATGTGGATGACCATCATATTATAGAGGTGGGTGTTTTTGAACTAATACATTTTTAGCTGCTGTTTTACTTACCGTACTCGTCATCAAGTCTGTGTGGTTCATGTGCTCCAGTGGAGTCTGCAATGCAGCTGGGGTCTTAATTAGATTCTGTAATGTAACAGATGGTTGAGACCCCTTGTTACTCATTGTCTGTCTGCCAGCACCCACACAGATATGGCCTTTCAAAGCCAGCTAATAAATTCATGTCAAGAGGCACAGTGTATTAACTGCTACTGGTTAACGCATGTCACAAACAGACCCTGATGAAAGTTTCTATAATAATCCAGAATTTTCAAGAAATGATAGTAAAGACAGCCATAGAGCTTCATTTTACCAGTGGATTGAGAAACCTGAGAAAGAAGACCTAAGATGGGTTTCAAATTGGCAACACCAGTTCATTTTTTATCTACTATCTGCTATTTTAAACATTATGCAATCAATAAAACTACCAGGTTAGTAAGTGGTAAGAACTGATAAGGGGTGTCCAAGTGAAAACATTGTTAATTTGTTTACCAATTGATGTCCCCTGCAGCAATTTCCTCTGAAAACAACAGGACATCAACAGTGTCAAGAGGTTAGTAACTAGAGAATGACGGCTTATGTAATCATAAATGTGACTACAAGTTTGAACGCAGTATAGAATCAGTTTTGTGTAAGATGACTTGTTAATAACAGCCTCTGTGTTGCAGGGCTCCTGTGAAAATGTTATTACTGTTATTGAGAAGTTTCAAGACAGCCTGTTTGTCTGTGGTACTAACGGACACAAACCGCAGTGTTGGAAACTTGTGAGTGTTTGTATATATCACTGAGTTTGTGTTTATCGTCACATCTGTCTGACATTCTGCAGTTTTTAGTGGCTTGTGGCAACAGCAGGGCAAAGCTGATGAAAGCATGGAGCTTTTAAGTGAAGTGTTTGTGATTAAACTTTAATTCAGTATCGGGTGTCGGGTTTTTGGTATTTTTTTTTATTTATCACAGATGTCTGGAACTAATCTTGATATTCTGTTGACTTTCTGTGGTTCTACAGTTTTCTTCAGTGAACAATCAGTCACATGAGATAATGGAGAGTTATGAGGGGACAGGCATATCTCCATTCATATATACACAGAACTCCATAT